AGGTCACAACAGCGGAAGAATTACCAGTAATAATGATGTCATCAACATATAGTAATAGATAAATGACATTATTATTCTGGCGAAAAATAAATAACGAATTATTAGACTTGCTGCACGTAAAATGATGAGATAAGAGAAAGCTACTAAATCTATGAAACCATGCCCGCGGGGCTTGCTTAAGGCCATAAATAGCTTTTCACAAACGACATAAATGATGAGTAAACAAAGGATGAATAAAACCCCGCGGTTGATGCATATAGACCTCCTCAGTCAGATGACCATGTAAAAATGCATTTTTAACATCCAATTGACGAATAACCCACCCAAAAGAAATAGCAAGTGTAAGAATAATACCAACCGTGGAGGGTTTAATAACTGGACTAAAAGTTTCAGAAAAGTCTACACCTGCCTGTTGATTAAACCCCTGAGCAACCAAACGAGCCTTGTGACGCTCAATAGACCCATCAGAATTATATTTAGTCTTATAAATCCACTTAGAGCCCACAACATTTTTAGTATTATCAAACGGAACTAAATCCCAAGTATTATTAAAAATAAGGGCATTAAATTCCTCCGCCATTGCCTCATGCCATTTTAGCTGTTTATTTGACTCAAAAAAGAAGTAGGATCAGCAGATAAAGCAACAGTGTTGAGATTAAAAATAGTTTTGGGTTTAAAAATTCTTGATTTAGCCTGAGTTTGCATTGGGTGATTATTTGTAAGCTGGCCGTAGCACTAGACAAGTCTGGTGCACTAGCTGAGGACTGCTACAGCTCCAGGCTAGAACCAGGTTGGGTGGCAGGAACTTCAGACACTGCTGGAGGGGGGCTCGGCCGAACAGGGGACGGGGTCGGAATATGGTCGTGGGGAAGAATATGAGAGGAAGTCTGATCGTGGTCATGGGGTAGAACTGGTGGTGTGTGGTTGGATGATTGAGGTGTGATAGGCTGATTTGGAAAGCTAGTGGTAGTTGTATCTACTGGAATGTGTATGTTGGAAGGCCGAGTAGGTGTAGGAGAGAAAATCCTATAGGTAGAACTAGGAAATATGGCAGGTGAGCTACGGTCTGAAGTGGTATTGATGAGAGTGAAATCATCAGGAACACTAGGTGAGGACGAAGATTCATGTCGCGTAGAGGAAGACAAAGTGGCATATGGAAAAATATTTTTGTGAAAACGAACATGTCAGCTAATAAAAACTTTGCTAGACTTGGGTTCAAAACAACGATAAGCTTTAAAACCATATGCATAGCAAAGAAACACACACTGGATGAAACAAGGAGAAAGTTTATTGGAGGAAGAAGCTAAAAAATTTGGATAACAAGCACACCCAAAAGCACGGAATAAACTATAATCAGGAGATTTCTGAAAAAGTTTTTCATATGGGGAAACACCAAAGAGAATGGGGGAGGAAAGTCTGTTAATAATATATACAGTTGTAAAAATAGCATCAACCCGAAAATTGCTAGGAATAGATGCTGTTATAAGCATAGTCCGAGCAAGTTCGAGAAGATGACGATGTTTTCGCTCAACAACCCCATTTTGTTGGGGAGTATAGGGGCACGATTTCTGAAAACAAATTCCATGTTCTGCCAAAAATTGTTGCATATTAAAATTAACAAACTCACCCCTCCATCGCTTTGAAAAACTTTAATCTTAGCATTAAATAGATTTTCAACTAAGGCCTTAAAACACCGAAACTGAGTAAACACTTCATTTTTTGTACACAATTGATAAATCCAGGTAAAATGAGAAAAATCATCAATAAAACACACATAATATCTAAATCCTAAGTTAGACAACACCGAAGATTGCCACACATCAGAATGAATTAACTGTAACGGTGAAGAAGAATTATGACTAGGATCTGAAAAAGGTAATCGTTGAGATTTACCCAAACGGCAAGAAACACAATCATGTTCAAAATTTGAAGAACTAGTAATAAGTTTGCTAGTACGCAATTGGCGTAAAACAGTTTCGCCACAATGTCCTAATCTACGGTGCCACACAGGGCCAGAAACAATAACGAAAGCTAAGGCTAGAGGTGCTGGAGGACTGAAGCTGACAGGATATAGATGGCCATTATGACGCACCTGAAGAAGAACTGCCCCCGAATTTGTCCTTGACAAAAAAAGAGTTTTTATCAAAAACCGCAACACAGTTGTTATCAGCACACAATTTTTGAATGTGTTGAATTCAAGTAAGAATATTGTGATTTAATGGTATATGGAGATAATAATTAAGCTATGTCAACTTACTGCGGATACAATGCACTCCAAAATGGAGACAGAAATAGTGAGAAATTGGATCAAGTAATCCAGGTTCGAGTCCCCCGCAGCAACTGTGTGGAGGCCACAACCTCTGAAAATCTGAAATGGGTTGGAACTTTGACACGCACGGCCATATGAGCCTACTCCTGCTGCTCCGCCAACTAAGTCACCGTGATTTACATCCCCCCATGTGCCCTGACGGGTCAGGGCGTGGGGGTTCCGTGGGTGGGAGATTTCACTTTTTGGATCAAGAAATAAAGCAAAGTTCAAGCTTCAATGTGCTTGACTGCTTGCTTAGTATTGAAACTGCGCCCAATAATGGCAAGCTATATGAATTGTATATATGGAATCCACTAGCTTAATTAGTGGTAATTACCTGGTTGATCATGTTTGTTAATCGCATGTGTGAACAAATAAATGTACTAAGTAATATAGTGGTATCTTGCATGGGTATATATTTTTGGGAAAAAATAATAAAAATACCTCAAACTTTAATGGGGTGTGAAGTAAACGCCCCAAATTTGCGTATGTAATTTAAATACCCCAAACTTTTATATAAAAATATTTTCGCACCATTGTCGTTATGTATTATTCTTTCAAAAATGTAAGCTTATGGTGTTAATTGCATAAGTAAAATAGCAAATTAAAATGTTGCAATTATATAGATTAGGTGTAACATTACCATGAAAGTATATAATGTTAATTGTGTTTTCATGAATTCTAACATATTTTAAATTATGAAATTAACACCATCAATTAACATTTTTGAAAGAAATAAAACTTGACTACTTGACTATGGTGTCAAAATAATTTTTTATATAAAGTTTGAGGTATTTAAAATACATATACAAGTTTGGGGTGGTCATCTCACACATCTTCAAAGTTTGGGGTATTTTAATTATTTTTCCCATTTTTTTGACATTAGATCTGAACTTTTATATTTTCCGAACAAAGAATACAACTTTTAAAATGAATTTAAAGTGGCACAAGGCAAATCTATTTAATTTAAAGAAAGTGCTCAAATTCTCAAAATATCAGTGAAACATGAACAAAGTTCTAACATCCAACAAAGTATATAGCAGAGAAATCCTTCCCATTTGGACCCTATATTTATAATTTTCTTCTTAAAATAAATTTATTGTGGGGATATATATTTATCGTTGACCAACTTAAAGCAATCAGCTTGTTTTGTAAATGGCATATATCTTCACGCAAAACTGCTTTGGACATGAAAGTTTTTGTCACAAAAGTTAATTCGGTCCATATTTATGACAAAAGACCAAATGCGAATCCTTTAGGCGGTTAGAAATGTTGTCACATATTCATCAGACTTTGGGCACGAAATTCCTGCACCAAATTTGTGACAAAGTATGTACACGAATTTGAGATCTATCAAGTGCATCACTCGATCACTCTTGCATCAGAAAATTGGTAAATATTTTGGTGCGGGAAAGAATCTGTTTCAAAGTATACATTTGTTTCTGTAATGGAATATTTCTGCTACAAAACTAAGAATTTTGGCTTTTGCATTTGACACAGAAAATTCAATTACAAAATATAGCCGTTGAAAATCCGTGAAAAAAAATCAAGACTCGTCTCACTTTTCAGCAGGGCCGGTCCTGATAATTTATAGGCCCGGGTCAAAAGACAAAAACTAGGCCCCTAATTATATATGTTGTAAGAATGTATTATATTACAAAAGTTTCTTTGTCTAAAATAAAATTCATTACACATGTAAATGTTTTGTCCATAGAACTACTCGATATCGATCCTAAGCTATACAAAACATTTTTTGGCATTCTTAGAAGTAAAATTGTCAATATTACTATCAATTTTTTATTCTCGGCTTCAGTGAAGAAGGTAGAATGTTATCCAGTAGTGTTTCATGTGAACCTTTTCCGTTGTGCTCAATCTACGGATATGAGGGTCGAAGGATATCTTTTACGGAGTATTAGAGTGTAGGGAAATGATTTGGTCTGCAGCGGTTGACAAGATGTCTCGTACAAACAAGTCCATTTGAAGAGCTTTTAGGTCGAATTAATTGATAAAAATATAATATTTACACGAAATTTCAGTTTCGAATTCAATTGAGAAGTTGGTTAAATAAGTTCCTTAAAAACACTGCACTTTTTAAACATATACTTCCTCTGTTCTTTAATTCTTGCAACATTGTGATTTTCGCACTAGTCACAGACCTTACTTTGACCACGATTTTCTACTAATATACACAATCAAATTATTACGTATAAAATGTTATTGAATTCTTATCAATGTGAATTTTCAAAATATCAACTTTTTATAATGTTTATTAATACATAATTTAATATAAATACAGTCAAAGTTGTGCGTTTACAAACGTGAAAGTCAAATTGTTGCAAGAATTTAAAGAACGGAGGAAAGTATAAATTTAAAGTGCATTGTTTTTCAATAATTTATTTAACAGACTTCCCAATTGAATTTTAAGCTGAAAATTTATGGACGCAATCCACACCTAATGAAAAAGATGCTCATAAACTGTCATTAAACAGTTTCATCTGGGAGCACCACAAATGGACTTGTTCGTACAGAACTCCCCATCAAGCGCGCCTGAGGTGAACGAGACTCAATATTTATATACTACTACTACTAAATAATTTATGGGCCCCTCTTCCTGATGGGCCCGGGGCAGCCGCCCATCCTGCCCCTATATCAGGACCGGCCCTGACTTTTCTACTACTCTACTATATAGTAAGACAAATTAAAATGTGTGTATTACCATGGTAACTCTGTTACATTCGTATCCAATATTCAAACCATCCAAGTATTTAGTAACTGGAAACCACTAAGATGACCTTCAAATTTTCTTTGCTTTGCCCATCACACTACTATACGTACATAATGATCGGTTCCAGACACATGCAAGCACGTATGCATGCAAGTATACAAATTTCAATAACTTAATTTCATTAACTTCAATTTATTATATACGAAGTATACTACTCCGTATAATTAATCCATCCTGATCATGGGAGTACCGCACCGGTAGGTCTGGAAGCAAGAATCGCCGACCTGGACAGTGAACTGGTGCAGAGGCCTAGCGAGAAAAGGAGGCAAACTGACTAGCATGTCACAAACGCACTGGTCATCCACCTCCTTCAACCATCTGCAGCAAATCTCTTCCTCCGGGGAATGGTGGTGGTGGCCGTGATGTGTCCTGCTGCGGTGGTGGTGTTGCCCCCCAACAGAACCGGGCGGAGGGCTCGGGTTGATGATAAGAAAAGAACATGCATGGTTGACCAGAGTGATCTGGGATGCACAAACCGCGCTGACCGGCTTTCTACTCCAATGGCTCTCTGTTATGGCCTCAAGTGAATGGAGGAGGAACACAACAGAGAAGATCAATGCTGCTGCTTTCATACTTGTTAATTTCTTGTTGTATATTCCTGATAAAGGTGGGGCTATCCAGTGGAGCAGTTTATTTTCTTGGCATGTATATATATCTATAAACCTAGTGTTGGATGAATTTAGGATTAAGGTGGATGAGTTTATCTGGTTTAAGGATTGTTTGCATGGTTGAACAAATTATGGGTACAGCTTATGAATCACTAATTTGTTACTTATTATTAGGTTAGTGGTAGGGGCAACTCATATGTTTTGCATGCATATCTTATGGGTTTAGGGTTTAAGCATCCATAAATTTTACAACGGAGCCTTGGTAATCGGTGACCTTCAACAAGTAAAACCCAGAGCTAGAGAGTATCATTCATTGCAGAAAACATTACAATTTTGGCCTACAATGATGCAAGATTGGAAATACTTTTAACTCAATTAAGGTATCATTTAAATTACTATATATCAAATAAAACTCAGAGTCGGAACTTACCTCACATGTTTTAAATTATGAGCATGACCGTTTAATTTTTATTATTTCAAGGAATTACTATAAGTAGAACCAAATTGATAAAATAAGTCAATCAGAGAACATAAAACATAAAAATGAAGTGGCTACTGGTCAGCAGATATTGGTTAGCAAAGACTTCAAAGGTATACTTTGCAAATGCAAAAGTATAGAAAATGAAAGACCAAAGCGTACTCCTACATATTCAAAGCAAGGTAAGTGAAACTCATCCAACACATACAAATCTAAAATTGAGCTTAGAGACAAGATTGAGGACGAATTTAAACTTGAGAATGTAGAGTTTAGCACCAGTTGCTTCTAACCAACCTTTAAAAACACTGGCCAATCAGTTTCTGGGTTTCTTTTGCAAGGCAGAGTCCCCGCCCAGCTCAGGTTTCCTCTTTATGCCCAAAAAGTGTTCAACCTGTATTGTTAAACAACAAAAACTATAACTCAGGTTTCCTCTTTATGAACACGGGTAAACCCAAACTGAATAATGACCACGGGTAAACTGTTTTACACGAATCACAAACAACTTGTTAGTAGAGAATTGCACAAACAGGGCCAATTCAGAATTACCTTTTTATCACCAAGCATGGGTGTTAAACTTCCAGGAAAGTCCTTCTCAACAGTTGCAAAACCACTTCTGGGATCACTAGTTTGCCTGGAAGCAAATAAAAACCATAACATATTCATTTAGGATAAAAAGAGAGATACAGAATCGTATTTTATTAATAAACTTATAAACACGCACAATTATAATAAAAATTAACTACACCAATCATTCAACTATCCAGAGCAGAGGCTCAATAAAATATTATTTGAGATCATTTTAGGAGACAGGTTAAAACAAAACCAAAGCTTAAGATTGATAGTGTTCAGCTTTGTTAGCTCATCAGCTAACTCATTCTCACTAAAATTGATTATTTCAATAAACTTATATTTTGGTAGTGAATATGTTACATTTATCCAAAGACATCAAGTTGCTAGTACTCGCATTCCATTTCTATTTTGTAGACCTAGCTTGGGTACCACGTCCAAGCCGAACTAAGCGCTCTTCTGTTCAGCTTATGGGCATAGTTATGCTTTTGAACTATACTAATATAAATTATAGGGAAAAGGGTCAGATAGGCCCTCAAACTTACATAAAAAGTTCAAATCACCACTTTTATATGAGGTTAAAACAAAACCAAAGCTTAAGATTGATAATGTTCAGCTTTGTTAGCTCATCAGCAAGCTAACTCATTCTCACTAATATTGATTATTTCAATAAACTTATATTTTGGTAGTGAATATGTTACATTTATCCAAAGTCCAAACACAACTGATTTCTCGATAAAGTCAAGGGTGCCACTTAATAATTCATATTTATCCAGCTCGCTTGGGCTTGAATAAGCTTGTATGCCATGCATGAACAGGAGTCTGAGCTGAGCAAAACTACTAGTGGACTATCTGACATCAAGTTGTTAGTACTTGCATTCCATTTCTATTTTGTAGACCGAGCTTGGGTACCACGTCCAAGCCGAACTAAGTGCTCTTCTGTTCAGCTAATGGGCCTAGTTATGCTTTTGAACTATACTAATACTATCCTCCGTTCCATAATTCTTGCAACAGTTTGACTTTCACGTTTGCCAATGTACAACTTTGACTGTAATTATATTTAATTATGTATTAGTAAACATTATAAAAAGTTGATATTTTGGAAATTCACATTGATAAGAGTTCAATAACATTTTATACGTAATAATTTGATTATGTATATTAGTAGAAAATCATGGTCAAAGTAAGATCTGTGAATAGTGTAAAAATCACAATGTTGCAAGAATTATGGAACGGAGGAAGTATAAATTATAGGGAAAAGGGTCAGAAAGGCCCTCAAACTTACATAAAAAGTTCAAATCACCTCTTTTATATGAGGTTTTGTCCGGCCGTCGCCATTTGGGACGGTTCCCGGTGGAATTTTTTTAGCATCTTCATTAAGTCTAGTTTACCCATACCAAATTTCTGCTAAAAATTCAACCGGTAAGGCAGTCAAATAATTTTCTGAAATATATTGCGTTAACAACGCAATTATCTTCAAAAATTCATTTGACTACCTTCCTGATTGAAGTTTTAGCTGAAATTTGGTATGAGTAAACTAGACTTAATGATTAAGATGCTCAAAAAAAAAATCAAAAAAATCCACCGGAAACCGCCCCAAATGGCGACCGCCGGACAGAACCTCATATAAAAGGGGTGATTTGAACTTTTTATGTAAGTTCAAGGGCCTATTTGACCCTTTTCCCTAAATTATACTACGTATAAATTATATATATACACAAAATATACCTTTTTGAATATAAATTAAAACATGGGCGGTTAAAAGATTAATGTTTATTATTAATTTGTGTATATTAGAGTAAATGAAAAATATTAAAAAGTTGGGCTTAATTAACCCGAGCTTGAAGAATTCAGAATTCGTGCCAAGTATACCGTAACTACTAGATTATAGGTGGGAGGAGAAAACATACCCGGGTTTAACATTTCCACTTAGGACCAAATAAGGTGTCTTTAGCTTTTCTTGAGCTTCCCTCATTCTCTCCACCGACTGCGATGGTGTGTCTGAATTTTTCATTTGTTTAATCTTTAGCTCCTCTTGATATTGTCGCATGCGTTTTTCTTGTTTTGATTTGCCGGGTCCCTTTCCATGAAATTTATGGGACAGCTGTCGAAATGCCTCTTTTGGAGTCAACTAGTAACAAATCCACAAAAATATTATTAGATGAATATAAAATAGATAAATTGTTAAACTAATTGATAATTCTTATGTCCCACACAATTAAGAATGTGAAATGATGTTGAGATTCATTTAGATATGAAATAAACAATATGAACCACAATTCTTACTTTTAATTTTAAAGGAAAATGGGAAAAACATTTTGGGACAGCCAAAAAAGAAGTGGGAACACTATGGGACAAGCTAGAGGAGTAAGTAAGTAGGTAAGGTAAGGTAGGTAAGTAAAGCGAGCGAGCGAGCAAGCGAGCGAGCGAGCGAACGAACGAATAAATAAATATATAAATAAATAAATAAATAAATAAATAAATAAATGAATAAATAGAATTGAAGATTAACTACCTGCTAATTGAACTATGCAAAAGTATTAAAAAGAACTGGTTGAGCAACAGAACTTACAATTCGACCATATTCATCGGTCCTTTCAATGTGTATTTCTTTAGGCCCCTCCTCATCAATAATACCGGCAAGCTTACTTTTCTTCTTGTCCATGTTTCGACCACCCCATTCGATTGTTTCCTTGAGTGATCCTCGATCTTTCAGGAGTTTGAGAGCTCCAGATAACCCCTTCCCGACAGCAGCTTCATGTATTGTGTCATCTGGAACTGTCTTCTCCTCATCCTCTTTCTGTAAGTCCGTTTCTTTTTCCGTGACTTCTTTCACCTCAGACCAGCCACCGTCCTCATCTATAGATGCTTTATCCGGAGAATTGGGTATAACATCTTCTTCCATGAAAACATCCTCATCACCCGGTTTATTTGAATCTTCAACAATAAAGTTAAATTAGATAACAGAGTACAAGAATATCTACAAACAGTACAACAATATAAGAAGAAAAGTGGGTAAAATTAGATGCAGCATACTGTATGGAAACCAGTACACATGATGGTACATGGAGAGACTAGGGCTCAATTGGATTGCAGAAAACTGTAGGGATAGAAAAATAGAGAGATACTCAGGAAGGATAATATTTGTTCAACACTTCAAACCGTTTTCATTTATTTGTTTTATTATATAAAGATAGTGATACCTGAATATGTAAAAGAAATTAGAACATTAATCATATTTCAATTTCATATGCATCTTCCAAGGCTATGCCAAAAATAGGAAAATTACTTTCCTCTACAATCTTCTTCTTTTTTCCTAACATTTCCATGATCCAGGCGTACTCTAAAGCTGCATCTCTATGTTCGCATGAAATTGTATTAATTAAAGATTTATCTAGAAACCCGCAATCTAGCAGGAGGCATAAGAAACAAAAATATTTCTCACACTAAACCTTTCCAACCTAATTTCACTCATGATAAGAAAGAGAGATTGTTATCAGCCGTGTTGGGATATAGAGCACTCATCCTTGGGACCTTGACCGAGCTTACAGAAAAAAGTATCATCTTTGACAGGAAATCAGAAACCATAGAGAGGCTCGGCCTTGTCAAAGTCTATGCAATTAAGCTTGCAATTAATAATCTTATTTTTTATGAATTAAAACAATATTTCACAATGTTATTGATAAAAAGTAGATAGGTTCAAGTTTATTGCTTCCTCTATCCCAAAACTTTCTTTCCATTTTGACTTGACACGCTCCAAAGTAAAATTTTACAGTTGTGGCCGAGGATAAAAAACAGCCACATAAATTTTTCCATAAAAATAAATGTGAAAAGAATTGTGCAGCCTCCTAAAAATGAAAATGGGAATAAAACTATGGGAAGGGGGAGTAAGAATTTTACTATAACAAATATTAACTAAAATGGAATACTAATACTACTACTAATAGGTAACTATTTATTACTAATACTACAACTAATAATATTAATAATAGAAGGAAACGACTATAAATACTGCTATAATTATGAAGACTCATATGCTGATTTGGTTTTCGGGGCCTGTAAAAGAGATGAGATCACCTCAACATCTATTGAACAAAAACTAGGCTCACAGTGGACTAGACGGTAGGGTTGGGGATGGTAAAAAGATGCATGATAGTTTTAGAGCAGGGTCAATTTCTAAGAAAAATAGGAAGGCAAGGAAAGCCTGCCATCTTGCCAGGGATTTAAGAAATAGAAGATAAAACTGATCAGCAAACCACTATGACACATCAAGTCCTCAAGTATTAAAGGCTACTAAACATAACCATATTAAAATCAACTACCTTCATCAAGCTGAAGGCCCCAAACAAACTCTTCCATTTCTGTGAAGACAACCTTATTCTCTTGCAAGTCCCCAGAGTCATGGTTATTATTATCTACAGTAGAATTGTTTTCATTCAAAGTGGAAGCAAGCAAAGCAATGGTCTCTGGTACAGATTTAACAACCTCCTCTTGAGTTCTCAGAGCTAATTTTCTTGCCCTTTCCAATGATTTTCTAAGCTCCTCATCATCGTCATCATCAAACACAATATCATCATCTTCCTCTTCCTTAGAAGTAAGATTGTACTCAGGTCGAAGTGCTTTAGATGCTTCTTGAGCCTTTTCATATGCAAACTTGTATGCCTTGTCTCGCTTCTCAGCCTCTGCTCTCTCATCCTCCTCCTTCAGGTGTTGCCTTGTCTTGTCATTCCGAGAACCAAGATCCGCGGAACCCAATCCAGTAGAAATAGCCTCTGCTTCAAGGGCATTTATGTCCAGCTTCTCTTTCTTTCTTAGTGATTTCTTTTTCTTGGGCTTCTTAAATTGAAGCATTTCTTCATGAGTATAATAATCTGTCAATACTCTGCTAGAAGAATTGAGATCTTCAGCATAGCTTTTTGTGGTAACCCCCTGAATTCTTCTCCGGAGCTGGTCATTAAAAAAAGTGAGAGTTTATATCAACCAACAATGACACTCCATGTTAAGTACATAAGATCATCTACAATGTAAAATGAACAAGAAACTGATTACCTCTTCCAGTTTCTTTGCTGCATCACCACTGAAACGTCCAGTCTCATCAAGAGCCACGCTCTAAAATTAAGAATAATCCAAGTAAAAAAGACAATACTGGTATAACAGTATAATACAGCAACTCAATTAGCATTAATAAATTGGAAAAGAAATTAACCTCCTCCTCCATCGGATCGTCATATTGGGGAAGCATATTCTTTTCAGAACCAGGCTCATCACTACACAAATTAGAGAGCAGAAAATGTTTAGTGTCATCAGCAATATGAACACCGTGTTCTATCAGTGATTCCTTAAAACTTACATCTGATCATATATTCCTGTTTTCTTCTTTCCAGCCTTATATGCATCATCCCTCCGCTTCTGCTCTCCAATTTCGACATTTTCAAGCATATCAACCTCTGAGATATACATTTATACCTCAGAATCTGATTTCACAAATCCCAAAAAGATGAAGACCCTAAGATATATGCAAGGTGGGGATGTATAAATAAGAGGCCTTGACTATGTACCTTGATTTATGTCATCACCAGAAAGTATGCTCTGATCTTTGAGTGTTAAGATAACTGAACCCCCTGCAAGCACTTTGTCAAGCCCATGGAGAACCTTTGCCCCGCCCAGCTCATCTGTTAAAATGTGTTCAATGGAAAATCAGACTAATTCAATCAAATTTCAGCAGAATAATGCAAGAAAAAGGGTAAGTTTTCATGTACAAAGCAGTATAAAACCATTCACAACACTCTTCATTGAAAGTTAAGAACTTCATTTCATCTCTCTGAGACCAAATAGGCTTCTGTATTTAAAAAAAACATGGAACAGGGAAAAAGTTTAAACTATTGAGTATTGATCGTTGAAGTCTTGAAGGCAAGACTACAATAGTACTCAATAAATCATCAAACCATTTCATTTATCCTCCTAAATTGAAAATCAAGTAATTAGCACACAGTAAATTATGCATTTGATTAAACTGCAAAACTTTCATGGATACAGTGAGCCACTATTCACCAAAGAGGGAGAAAGAGCTATACCAGCAGATCGATGGTTTGTTTCTTCAACGTCGTCGTCGTCTTGATCAATTTTATCCTGAAGCAGTAATGCAGCAAATTGGCAATGCAAATAATAATTAGGATCCTGGTAAAAGGAATCTGTTCGTTTTTTCTTAGATCAGAGGGCGTGGAGCAGTGGGAGTGGGGGGTTTTGTCAATCAATATATGGAATAGAGGAACAATATTTGAAAACAAAAATCGTTTACCTGCTCTTCAAACATCTTAAAGAGCTGCAAGGCTTTAGCCTTGTCAGCCTTCTTTTTCTCCTCGATCTTGCGACTCTTATTAACCCATCCTAAAATCTCAGAGGCACCATCTGATTTTTTCTTCAGCCTCTCTTCCTTCATCCTAGGGTCAACCAAGCATTAATGAGAATTAAAGCTACTTTATTTACCGATACTCCCTCCGTCCCAATTTGATTGTCTCATTTCTTTTGGGCACAAATTTTAATAAAGTGGTTGAAAAAGTAAAAGTTGTGGTTGAGATTTGAGTAGAAAAAGGTGAAATGATGTGGACCACATCTTTCTTTCCAAAAAGGGAAACATGACCATCATTTTGGGACATCCCAAAAAGGAAATACGGGACCATCATTTTAGGACGGAGGGAGTACTTCAAAACAAATATTTTCATATCCAGTAAGCAATTGCAAGTTTATTCATTAAAAAACAAAGCTACTGTTGTCTTTCCAGAATATATCATGTCCACTTCCATCAAACGAGAGAGGAAGCGAATACTCTGAAGCTACCATCTTTAACGTTATGGCAAAGCCAAAACACAATGAAACAGAGAGTATCCATATAACGGAAGAAGAACCTTGGCCCAACAACAACATTACCCCCGTGCCGCAAAGGCTCCCACCAATGGTGGGGTAAGGGGGGTTGGATGTACACAGTCTTACCCCCGTACTAAAGCACAGAAAGACTGATTCCGGATGACCCATGATGAAAATCCCGTCAAAAATTGCATACTGATTGTTGCATCATAACAAAGAAGCTCAAACAGTTAAACGAACCATTTTCCTTTATTTTATCATATTTCCCAAGCCAAAAAATAGTGAGTCTTCGGCTCTATCGAAAAAGATGGAATAAAGAACCTTGGACCAGTGGGAAAAAATTGTAGCCATGTGGCCGTGAGGTCATGGTTTAAAGCAACAGGAAAAGCCTCTTATACATATAATACATAAATAAGATGCAAGGTTGCATAATGCTTATGGCGTATAGCCATATATCAGACCTTAAATACTTGTTAGGCATATTGGACTACTGGATGGGACCAGATATGAGGCAATGATAGACGGGTCCACACAACCAGTGCAGACTCATTACCAAACAAGTCTTATGGTTCAGCTCTTTCCTACATTATATACAAGACTTCTACTTTTTCAAAAAGGTTTATATAGCTCGCATGCATCATTTAAATTTTAAAATACTAACAAAGCATAGTCAATCCTATTTAGAACGTAAAATGGAATTTAAACAATTAAGTACTTACTTCAAAATGCGCTCCTCCAGTTCTGAAACAGAAGCTTGCGATCCAACAGGTCCATCCCTCATAAAAGACATCTTGATATTATCATCATCAGCTAGGGCTGCCTTATCATGTTCAGAGAAGTCCCCATCATCACCATCTTTACCATTGAACCTTGACACCTCATCTTTTCCCATATCCATCCTCCTATTATGATCCTCATCGTGTAGTTTCCGAATGCTTCCATCTGTGTCTCTGGACTTCTGCCTTTCATGATCCCTAGCTCTATGTTTTCCTTTTTCTTTTTCATTTGCATCTTTACTTCTCACTCTATCATAATCCCTTCCGCTTTCCCTTTCTCTCTGTTTCTCTCTATCCTTCTCCTTTTCTCTTTCTCTATCCTTCTCCTTTTCTCTTTCTCTATCCTTCACCCTCTCCTTGTCCCTATCTCTATCCTTGTCTTTGTCCCTGCTTTTGTCTTTTTCTCTATCTTTCATCCTCTCCTTGTCCTTATCTTTGTCCTTTTCATGATGCCTACGATCTTTCTCGCTTCCTCTATCTCTCTCTTTGTCTTTGTGCCTGTCCCTGTCATTATCTTTTTCTCGAACCCTGTCTTTTGTCTTTTCCTTTTCTGGATCATCTCTGTCTCCCTTCCTTCTTTCTCTAGTGAGCAGCCGATCTTTCAACACATCCTTGTCCTCTTTCTCCCCATCTCTCATTTCACGACTCCTTTCAGACCTTGAGTCGGTCATAACAATATTAGGCTAACAGAACAACTATGTACGATGCTCCCTATAATACCAAAGATGTAAGAGTAAAATATTATCTAAAGTTCATCAACACATCAAAGTAGAGAACTAAAGGAGATGTAAGAAAGGTTTTAAAATAGAGCTGTAAAATAGTAGAGATGAAAAAACAATGGAAAGCTTTATGATAAAGCAGATAAACTGCGACAATATAAGGGCTCTTTGATTTTACTATACTATATGAATGGAGTAAGGAAAATGTCAACAGCACGCATACAAGACTTCAATCAAAGACGAGAACGTAAGATAGGCAGGGACTTTGATCAGTGGGAAGCAGGAAGCTTAGGATCAATCTTGTATATATTAAGTGAAGAGATTAACGGAAATAAAGAAAAATCTTAAAGGAACTAATCTCATATGTGACCTTGTCAATAGACCCATGTATTAAATCTCCAGAAGCTACACATTTATGAAAAAGAGATTAAGATTAAACCCAGCAAACGTGAAGTAAAAATCAATGAAAATCATCAACAAAAAAAACCATCTCCTTCATCTTTATTTCTAGAGCATCTCTTTACTCTTTTCCAATAGTGAATGAACACCACTAATGGGGTGGAAGAGAATTTCATAGTCCCGAACCCTTGGATTATACTACCTCCGGTTTTTTTTAATCTTCACAGTTTGACTTCACACAAAATAAGGAAAGAAATTTGACTTTACTGTAGAGTACACTGTTGAGGCACTGTTTGACACTGTTTGGCACTGTAGAGACACTGTTTGACACTGTTTGGCACTGTTTTGATGTAGATTTCTTTGCCAAAAAAGGAAATAAGGAAGTGTGAAATTTATTTTAGACCGTCCCAAAAAGGAAAGTGTGAAGTTTATTAAAAACCGGAGGGAGTAGTTTTTACTTTTATGTGCATATGTAACTTTTTCATGCATTTGGATGAAAGTAGATTGCCCTCGCTTACATTCCAAAAATGAAATAAACCCTTCCCTAACTAAACACGAATCTTTCAATTGATTTGGCTCTCAAGCATATCATCGATCTCTTCACGTTGTACGGGTTTATGACTCACTGTAAGCATGAACTACAATATATGCATTCATTCTAGGCATGGCAATGGGTCGGGGCGGGGCGGGTACTACAAGACCCAGACCTGCCCCGTGACTTATCGGGGCGGGTCCGCCCCGCCCCGTGACCTGCACGGGTCCAAACTTGTTGACCCATGACCCGCCCCATGCGGGGCGGGGCGGGTCCGCCCCGCCCCGCCGTAACCTAATTAGCTAGTATGTATTTTTATTTGTGGGAAGTTGTTACGAATTGAATTTACATAAAATTTATCTCTAAATACTAATTAAAAATTAATATATTAAATCAAATTCACGATACGCTAAAAATTTCAAAAATTACTCAGACTTGAATAATTAATCTATTTAATTATATTAATCATTGAATATATGTATTAAAATGCTATATATAAAGAAGACATTGATAATCCGTCGTTCATCTCATTCTAATATATATTAATATATTATAAAATCAAAGCATTTATGATTTATTGTATACACACATATGTATGTTGAAATGTATTTGTAGTATAATTTAAGAAAAAGTATGTATACTTATATATTGAGCGGGTCGGGCGGGGCGGGTCGGGGCTGCACGGGTCAATTCTAACACCCGGACCCGCCCCATTGTATAGGCGGGGCGGGGCGGACCCGCCCCATTTGCAAGACGGGGCGGGGCGGACCCGCCTCAAATGTCTCGGGCCAGGGCGGGTCGGTTTTTTTTTACATCCCTAATTCATTCAGTCTACTCTTCTGCTGGTCCTGCATCTGGTCTATGACTTCTTCAGTTTGAATTGATCTGTGACACTAAATCTAATTATTTATAAGAGTTCTCTAAGAGGAATGAAGTTCTGTCCATTAATCGTTAAATAGTTAAAGGTTTTTATTTCTTATTGATTATTGATTATAAATTTCCATTGATCAATTACAACTGTTTTGCATATCTCATTTGTATTTATAGATTATTTGTTTAATATAATATTTTGGGTTTTTTACAAAAATATTACTAAAATAAAATTAATTTACACAAATAAGACTATTAGTTACTACTCCCTCCGGTTCACATTAATCTTTACACTTTCCTTTTTGGAAGTACCATATTTAACTTTACACTTTCTTATTTGCCTTACAAAATCTACACCAAACAGTGCCAAACAGTATCAAACAATGTACTCTACAGTAAAGTCAAATTTATTTCCTTAATATATGTGAAGTCAAAGTGTATAGATTAATGTGAACCGGATGGAGTACAATGTAGTGTCATAGTAACTTAACTTTAAAAATTGAACATAAGTTACTATAATTTCATTACTACTCTAATCACTAATCACATTTTTGTAAACAATCTTCATTTTACTCATAACTATGTAATTATTTCTAATATTTTTTGCCAAAAATATTTATATTTTTTTAGTATCATGTTGAAAGTTGAAACCGAGTTGGTCGCCTAGTCGGCGACTAATTGGCGCCTAGTCCGCCTAGTCGGCGACTAATCGGCCCTAGTCCGCCTAGGCGGTGCTTGGCCGTCTGACTAGCGCCTAGCGCCTTTTAGAACATTGGATAATACATACTCCGTATTACTCCCTCCGTCCGGAATTATAAGGCACTTTACGGTTTACAATGTTTGACCGAACACAAAGAAAATTGATCCCTGTGAACACTCAAATTAGTTTTAGAAAATAAAATTTACACATTGAGAAACTACATTAAAATTGCTACAAAACCTGCAAAAAATAATTCAAATTTCATAAAATTTTGATATATATATATATATATATAAAGTAAGAGATTAAGTGATTTGTGTTGACCAAGTGAATAGAAATGGTATCTTATAAAATGGGATTGAGGGAATAACTTTAGTGATTATGATCACATCAAAACCCATTGTCTAAAAGTATATATTGGGAGGAGCTGGGTTTTATTTTTGACCGTTAATAGATAAATTGGCCTCTTTTCATTTGTAATGTACATGTATAGAGTATATAATTTATATTTTCTATCACAAATTTAATCAAACTCTATCTGCAGTTCACGTAAATTAAGAAGAACAGCACATGAAAATATTGATCTTAAAATCAATAAAAAAAATATGAAAATACGATTACCTCAAATCGTTCAAAGTAAGATGGGTACGTCGCCTGAAGGGGTTAGAAGTCGCTGGCTGCTTTATTTTTTTAGACGAGCAGCGATTGAATCTTGAACTAATTCAACTTTTTCTTGAACAGTGACGCGCGAGACTTATTCGCGTAGGGTTCTTAGTGCGGCGAGATTGCTTTGCCGATGGGAAGCAACGTCCGAGGAAGAGGATGATCTGATTGTGGAGGCCGGGGGGGTGCTTTGAATCGGTACAGCTACAAGAAAACCGATTGGGTTCAACCGTTCAAGATTTTAACACTGATTGGGTTTTGTAATAAACTTAATACAGAGGTATTAGCAGAATGTTAGAGGATGATTCTTGTTTAGGGAAAAGGGGCAAAAATGACCCAAAAGTTATGTTTAGGGGTGAAATAAACTTAAAACTTATGTTTTTTGACCTTCTAGGCACCTCCACTAATGCCCCTAACGGTAGAGTATTAGCACAACTTAAGGCCTCACTTATTACTCTCTCTAGTAACTTTTTATTAAATTACTACAAATTTTAATTAAAATAGTTTATTGATTTAATTTAAAATTAATCAAGTCGTTACCAAAAAGCATGGAAAGAAAGACTGAAATATGTAATACTCGGTTCTTATTTAGTTATAACATATGTGAGTTTTGCACTATTCACATGCTCTATTTTGATTACATTTTATTTATTAATGTATTACAAATTAAATTTTTGAAAAAATATTACGTAGTATTAAATTTCTCTCATTTTAAAATTTTAAAATCTAATTTTTATTTTTTTACTAATAAGAAATCAAAGATATTAATAATCAAACTTGTACATTGACAAACATAAAAAGTGTACCACTGCAGTTAAAAGAGAACGCATGATATAAAAAGTATTGAATGCAGTTTAATTATGGTATAAAACTACCCCTTTAAGGATGTTTTTACTTGGACTGTAATCCGTCCCAGACCAGACCAGACCAAATCAAACTAGACCAGACCAAATCAAACTAGACCAGACCAGTTCAGAGCGTTTCCAGCGTTTGGTGAGGCCACCATCACCCCTGGCCGTTTCCAGCGTTTCTGAGCGCTCCGTGGTCTGCCCGCGGCTCCTTCGTCCGCGAGACAGTTGCTCCGAGAGATCATGTTGTTGATTGTTTCTCGCCATAGTACTTGCTGTGGGTAGATTTAGTATATGTTTTGGGAGAGTTTTGGAAACTTTTAGTTCAGTTTCCCACAGACGGCGCCAGTGTTGAGGTTTATTCCTTCAACCCTCGGGTCCAACACGCAAGCCCAAGGATTTCGAGTGGAGTGTGTGTGAGTAAACTAGCCCAACTAACAAGCGAGGTGGATTAAGAAACAATAAGTAGCAAGTAAGTGATTAGGTATTATTATCTGTTAATAACTCCCTAATACAATACTTTCGCTAAGGCTCGTCGGCCGTTCGTCTTACAAGGCAGTAGAGGTGATGCGAGTAAGAATGCTGTAGCTAGAGTGCTAAGAATAGAAAGTTGTTAACCCTTTACAATGAAATAAATGCTTCTATTTATACCACCAATGGGCAGTTGTCTATGCTGACGTGGAGGACTGTGGGTGGCTGGTGTCCCAACCACCAAATCTTCAGCATTGAATGCACTTCCCGCCAGAATCTAGGTTTCCCGTCTAACTAGTGGGGACGTTCGTCCGGCCGGGGGTGAGTTGCTCCTGGTGGCTTGCAAAGGGTATTGGGCCGTTCGTCCCCTGGCCCTTGGTGATTTTCGCCATGTGGACTGGATTGCCTCCAACGGCTATGGGCTTGCTCTGACGACGTCCGTCGTCATTCTGATGGCCTGTGGGCCTGCTCCTTGTCGATGGCATAGACGTTCGTCGGATGGGCCCCTGAGCTTGGGGCTCTTCTTCAGACGTTCGTCCGTACCGGGCAAGTGAGCCTATCAGGTTAGCCCAGTGACCTATCTGGACGTACGTCCGGATGAAGGGGTAAATGGGCCGAACCTCAGTTTGGGCCATTAACCCAACAAGAACCATTTTAAATATTTCCATAATTTAGGAGATTCAGCTAATCTAGTGAGCTAGAATTTTAGAAATTTCAACGGATTTAACTCATTCAACCAATTTCAGTATTACTAGAGGACTCCTAAAGCTCATTCAGTAACATCGAAATTGGCTAATCAGTTGAATCTACTGAAATGATGAAGTTCCAGTTGAAATGACTGAATTGACTAAATCTGCTCAATTGTAGAAAAAATATATTTAAAATATATATTGTTAGAAAAACAAAAGAAAAAATATATGGAAAAATAATCAAAATGATCCTCTACAGTAACTTTAGCAAATTCAGCTAAAAAAGTTTTTTCAACCTTATTTATTTTGACTATCATACAATTCGGCGTGCAAAATAAAAAATTACATTTTGATGAAAAATAGACTGATAAGTCGAAAAACATATGTTATACTTCCTCCGTTCTTTTTTAATTGCAACAGTCCACTTTTCACGTTTGTCAACGCACAAGTTTGACCATTAATATCTTTCATTCCTTATTAGTAAAAAAATTAAAAAAAATAGATTTAGAAAATTTAAAATGAGAGGAATTTAATTAACAATATGTTTTAAATTTAATTTATAATATATAAATAAATAAAATATAGTCAAAGTAGAACATACGAATAGTGTAAAAAGTGCATTTAAAAGAGAACGAAGGTAGTATATGGACTTTTCATGTTAGAAGGGGCTGGAAAGTCCTGAAACCCTAAAACGTTCGTCCAAAAAGAAAAGCAACAACAAAGGGTATAAACCTTTTGGCTTCTGGGACGCTGGAAGAAATGGAAGAAAACATGCGGCTCATTTTTTATTTTGTTATATAAGCTTACTAGGTTTCAAGCCCGTGCAATGCACGGGTAGTACATAATTTAGCTAATTTTAAATTTGATATTTTCGAAATCATATATAATGGGATGCAAAAGAAAAATAAACTCAATCTAAATATAGAGTTCGTTTGGTAATACTCCTAGTAAAATTAGCGAAATCAGCTTATTTTACCGAAATTGATTAAATTCGGGTTGAATCACTTGAATGGGCTGAATAGGCAGAATCTCTCAAATCATGAAAAAAAAATTAAAAAATATTTCACTTGTAAAATAAAGAGACAATTATATGGAAAATATTCAAAATGTTCTTTTACATAAGCATCTCAACTAAACACAATTGTGGTGAACCCAATTTTAAAGAATTCACAGAGAAGCTTCTTAATTAATCTCATGTCTTCTAAATTATTTTATTATGCACCTCAATGTTTTTCATATTCCTCATTGTACTTGGTATGAATTGTGGAGTATTTACTTTTAACTTTTAATAGTAAGATATTACATTTGACTCATTATGTCATCACATTGAAAATGTAAGAAATGGAGTGTTTTTACATTTTACTCATTATTTTGTCACATTGAAAATGATTTTTAATTGTTATGAACGTCTATATTACTTTAATGAGCATTTCAAAATAATATTTTTCTAATATTTCTCATTCAACTTGGTATGAAATACATATTTTTAAATTTTAATAGTGAGTTAGGTTCTTACATTTAACTCAATTTGGTACTCCGTAGTAAAAATAAAGAAATGAAACAATCCAACATATTTACTTTTGGCTAGACTAAACGTATTAACTTGTGAACACACATATGCATGTATGATATCAACTTTCATCCTTATTAAATACTACGTAATTAATAAAGATAAGCTACTTAGTTAGAAGTATTCTCTTTATATGATTCTATATATGAATGTCTAATAGTACTAATTTCGCTTTTAATTTCAAAATTTCGGTGGTTAAAATTTCCGTCATTGTGTTAATAATTAAGAAAGCATTATACGAAGATGTAGAAAAATACGAAGTATTAACACAGTTTCAAATCTATAGCTTAAAATTTTAATCATGATCTCAACATTGAGTTTAGAAGAATAAAATATACGGAGTAACATTTTAGGAAATAGGACACTATTAATACTTTTTTATATATAAATAATTTTGAAGACAAAATAAATAGCAATTTGGCTGATTTATCTATTTTTTAAGGAACTGATTTATCTGTTAAGTAGGCAAAACAAAGATACTTTATTTCTTCAATAAAATGTAATAAAAAAATACGAAGTATAATAATAATCAAAAAAATTATACGTGCTTATAAAAGTACTTTATAAAAAGTACTTCGTATGATTGATTATTTAATAAGTGTGATTCCAATTAATGAATTTCATAATTATTAAATAGGTTTTGAAAAAGTTTCCAAATAAGGTGGATTTTTATCATAAAGTCTTTTGTTTCCATATTAATAAGCAATCAAAAATAGAATCTAATAAAATAAATAAAAGATATGGAATATTAAAAATTTAAATGATGGATGACATGATTAGGTGGCGCTTTGTATGCTCTTAAAAAGTTCCTCTTATATATATATATATATATATATATATATATATTGATTTACCTAGGTCAACACTCAACATGTACGGTTAAATTAACGGCACCGTTAGTGGAGGGGCATGAATTGTCAAAGAACTTAATTCTTGGAGCTATTTCACCCCAAAAAAAGTTTAGGGTCTTATTTCCACTTGAAATAAAACATTAGGGTCATTTTTGCTCCTTTTCCCCCTTATTTATTTGATCCTCTTCTGTAAACTGGTGAAGGAAATGCGTGTATGTATGTGACACGGGTGTTCTGACCTCAAATAGTAGGCAAAAAAAAAGAAATTTTGGGTGTTTTCTGCTCTTTCAAGTGAAGAAGTTGGAGTGTTTGGGTAAAAGTGCAGAAGTGATTCTGGTGATCTAATTTATTCCTAAGATCAGTTTTTAAGAAGCTGATGGAGATCAGCTTCTCAAAACTGATTCTGATTCTGTTTCTACTTTAAAAATGAAACAGAATCAGTTCCAAACACCCCTTGATAGGGAAGTTTATACAATCAGCTGAATATAATTTTGGGATTGTTTGAAAATAATAAAAGGAGTTGCTGAAAATCTCATTTTGGACATTAGAAAACCATTCAAGCAAATACTAAAACTGAAATACGAAAATAGAAAACTAGTGTTAGATGGAACATCAATACAAAAAGCTTCCTTTTTTTTTTGTGTGGTATCATTGGACATCTGCATTTTTTTATCATAAAACAATAAAAAGGGGATGAAGAGTTTGTATGATCATTGACTCAATGCAGTAGAGTGGGGGAAGCTGATATAACTTACAAAGTTAATCAACAATGGAGGAATAAATGTTGAAAATTGAATAAATGATGAATCTTCAAATGTTGAAATTAGATGTATTTATAGTTTAAGAAAGTGGACGATTTAAAAATCTTCCCCTAAATTGAAAAATCTTAAATTAAAGGGTTA